AATGCATTCTAAGTTGACAATATTACTTCTATTACATAAAATAAACAAAACGTAAAGGCATATACTAGGAATACATAGACTCTAAAGCCTTCAGGAGCTTTTTCCCTCTCCACGCCAAAGTTAAAGCCTGTAAAATGTTAGAGAAAAGGGGTGAGTCTATCAACTCAGCAACCAAGGTAAGTCTATTTTATGCAGTTGTATATCAATTAAAATAAACACATGGATTTGAAATAGAGTTTCTTATAACATGAATTTACATATAATTCACAACTTATCATTTCACAATTAACTCATGTTCATCTCAACCCTAGGTACATTGTCATAAGATACTCATACATGTAACCATGACCCAATATATTAACATGACTTGCCACAACTTAATCATATGGGCATGATCAACTATCTTTATATCCTTTTTATTTTTTTCAACTGAAATTGTGGATTGTAACACTGAATAGGGCTCTGTCTGTTAGACTGGACTACTTAAGCTCACTAATCATGAGGTGTGACCCGACCAAAAATCACATGACTTACTCTTAGACTGTGGCTTTTCCTACTTTTGAATCTCTAGGATGTCGTATACCCTAAGCTAATCTCTTCGATAAGCTGGTGGAAATAGCTAGGTACTAGTTCCTCAATAAACTGTAAGATAGTCCTTCAACAAACTATAAGATAAGGCTATACCCTCGTGTACTGAAAGGCAACCAAAATTACCATATGAATTTTACCTACTCCTCTCCCTAGGTGAACTCTCGCCTACTGATCATGCCATGTATGATGCTTACTTATATACATAACATTTTTATTTTCAACATCAACACATTAGGCTCGCGACCATGCGCTACCCAAGTGAGCATCACTTCTCATTTCACATTTATCACATATATCCATCATTTTCAAACTCAACACATTCATTATTTATCACATAATCATCACACTTCTTATTCCAATAAACACATATATTTATAGTTTTGAAAATTACTTTAAACTTTAGATTTACATGTCAAGACAAAATACAAGTGTTCATGAACATAATTCACTAAATCCTCAAGGTTGAGGGCATGCTTTCACATTCAAAAATTTAACTGTACATGCAAACATGTGCATTTTACATCAAAACACAATTAATAAATAACTACCCAAAATAGGTTCCCACAATCACTTCAAACCTTTGGGAGATCAAAAGTTTACCCCTTAATATGTTAACTTTCAAGCTTGATTTCACAAGCCAAAATAGTGTCCAATTGCTCAATTTACAATTAGTCAAATCCTCAACTCATCAACATTGTCAAAAACACAATTTCAACTCTCATTTTTCACTTCTACAACATGCAACATCCTTAATTTTTACCTTTAGGCTTACCCATTAGGTTCATTAACTCTCTTGAGTTTCTAATAGCATTAATGAGCTATTAAACCTCTATTAATGACATTGCAACTCTTCCAACAATCCTCATAAATGTCATTTTTAGATATTAATGACATTTATGAACTAAGGATGTCAAAATTCATTATTTTTAGGTTTAAATACTTCAATCAACTCCCATTAACTCTATTTAAATCTATGGATTCAGACCCATAACCTATATGGACTGAAAATTATCATTCCAACTCAAACCCTAACTCTAATCCCTATTAAAATGAAAGAGAGAGGGATGAATGGAGTATTGGATACTTATCTTGGGTGATTACTAGTTCCAAAATACTCCCAATATCATCCAAGTATGAACCCTATTAGAGCTTGATTGCTTGTTCTTGTTTTCTCCCCTTTTCTCCTTCAAATTTTTTAGTCTACTTGTGACTTAAGTTTACAGAAAATGGGCTATGCACTTAGCGCACGCTGCACACACCATGAAGCATGGCATAGAGAGGCCCTCCTGCTTTAGTAATCATTTGTACGTTGTAGCGAACGTGCTGTATGACGCGACATATGGCACAGGAACACTTCTTCACATTTTCTCCTCCTTTTAATGCCTGGGTAGCCAAACTTCACTTCTGACTCATAACTAGGGCTGAAAACATAATCAAATATAATTAGTAGACCTCCTTAGCCACACACCATATCAAATCACTCAATTACTATAATTAAACTTGATTATTTTCTTAATAATCTAGGGATTAAAATTTAATATGTTACAAGAATAGGACATCAATTATGGAAGCTACATCGCCAAGCCTCATGAGTGACATAGCTTCTTTTACCAGGCATGGAATCCATGTCGCCCATATTCAAGGGCAACATGGTTTAGTACAGCAAGCCATGTCACCCTTCTCTTATGCGATGTGGCTTGTTGTTGGGTTAGAAACCACATCACCCAAGCATATAGGTGACATAGCTTCTTGGCCAAGCCATGTCGCCTCAGGTTTCAAGTGACGTGGTTTATTCAACAAGCCATGTCGCCCTAAATGCAGGGTGACGTGGCTTGTTGAATTACATTTCTTTTTTTTTTGTTTACTGTCATAAAGCCACGTTTCTCTGTGTTTAGGCAATGTGGCTTTGACTATCTATGTCCCACTTACGTAATTGTGACATAGATAGTGTTACTCATTCCTTTCTTATTTTTAACTTCACATGTAAAATAAGTGACACGAATTAGTGTGGTAATAAGTTTTTTTTGTAGTAGTGTTGATTTTCTATTTCATTGGCATGCCAAGTATATAATTAGATACATTTTTTCATATATTATATAAAGTCTTTAACAATGAATTGCTTTACTCATGACTTATAAATTACATGATTTATTATGAATTCTATATTTTATATTAATATGATGGTGCTTATTAGTATTAATAATCCTCAACGCTGCATGTTGAAGTTGTTTTTCAGTCTCCTAAAATATTTTCATACCCGATAGATGTGAGATTAATTTTTTGAGAAATCTAAGCATTATTTAAGGGGTTGTTCTTTCTCAAGCAATATTATTTATATACACTTCCAAGAATTAATCCCTAAAATCATGTTTAAGAAGCCTAGACCACTATCGCAAGTAAAAGTTAGGACAAATTAATCATTAGATTGTTATAGTTTTAATTTAATTATAACTCAATCCTTAAATTATGATTCATTGTACCTTAACCCTTAAAATTGTACTCAATTGTAACTTATTTTTTAAACTTTGACTTTTACAACTCAATTATTATATTTTTAATCATTTAAATATTAGTTTTTATATCTTAAAAAATATAATTATATAGATTAAAATTATTAAATAATTTTAAAATGTATAAATTAATAAAAATTTAAATATTTTTAATCTTTATAATTTTATTTTTTAAAATATAATAACTAATATTTAAATGGTTGAAACTATAGGGATTAAATTACAAAAAATAAAATTTAAAATTAAGTTACAGTTAAGTTAAAATTATAAAAATTGAGTTACACAATTAAAATTTAGGGACTAAATTATAATTGGGTTAAAATTATAAAAATCAAATGATTATTTTTTTCTTAAAGATATTATGATAAGGCATCCACATAACTTGAGTTTGGGCTATATTTCGAGGCGCAAGGCTTTAATCATATATGGGCTTGGATCCTATGACTTGGACTTTACTAATTTATGTAGGAACCCAATACTACATCTTTTTGGGCCAGAACCAAGAGTGCATTGATTGAATTATTTAACCACCTCATAGAGACTTGAGATCAGCTTTGAGTACAAGTGACTTGGACTTTTCTTTTTGGGGTTTATTTTAGTGACGTTATTAAACTCCTTCGCTCAAATGCTGACGAGAAAGTTTATTAGTATTAAATTCAAATAGGCATAATAAGATAGATAATTTTAGAAATTATCTTGAAGAATTTATCCGTATAATACTATGAAATTTATAGAAAACATTCAAACACATGCCATTTATAATATGACCAGTCTAATTCTATTAACACCATACAAACTGCAAAGCATAGAGTCATTTCCTGGCTTTGATGGCCATGATAAAATAATAAAATAAAATAAAAAATAATAAAGATCATTATTGAAGGTTACTAAACATATCATATGAAAAGATGTGCTTTTCTAATTGCACATAAGTAATCAACCTGACCACAGAAGTGACATTAATCACTTTCCTTTTAGAGAGATTGGAATATTTGTTTAAATTTCATGATTTAGCTTAATGTCAATGTAGGCTATTAATGATTTTGTTTGTTATACTGTCATTGATCAAGCTCAACATTTTTGTGTCAATGTCGTGAATGATAAGAAGAGGTTGTGTGAAAAACTTTTTTCTCATTATGATACTCATTACATTTAAAAATATAAAGCATTTTTAATTAAATCTCATTCTCAATAAAGTAATTACTTATTTTTAAATTAATTCTATCTTTTCGTATTTACCCTTATTTAATAGGATATTTCAACTTAAAATAAATATAAAACAATTTATTTAATAGGAACACTTTAGGAAGAAAGGCAATAATTATATATTGAAAGATTAAAAATACTTTATATTTTTTAACATTCAATTTCTAAAAACAATGTCCTACATTTTTTAATGAAGAGAATATCTTTCATTTTTTTATTTCTTTTTTGCTTTATAAGTAATGGAGGAGCCAGGACTGGGTACAAGATAATTTAATTTAAGAATTAATATTTTTTTAAAAATAATATAATTACCCTATGAATAAAATTGTAATAACAAAAGAAGCTTAATCATTACTTTTTTTAAAAAAAAATTACATTGAACAAATTGATACAATCTTTTATGTAAAATATGTTCTTCATACTTATATTTATCATTAAAGTATTACATATTTAACAAGCTTTTGAGATCAGATATTTTTTATTTAATCTAAAAGGTGTAAAATCTCAAAAGTAAGAGGTGTAAAGTTACAGAATTTACATATACAACTTGTAATTTTTTTTTTAAGTGAGAGGTACATTTGCACACCATCATCCATGAGCAGCTCCACCATAGGGTATAAGAAGCATATTATATTGACAGTAGAATATAACCTCCCCTAAAGGACAAAGAGTAAATCCTTCTCAATTAAATTGTTACATATACAAAAAGTAAGATTCAAAATCTCAAATTCATAAATTTGAAAATTTTCCATATTATTTTAGGAATAGGAAAAAGAAAAGAAATATCCTCACTTCAGGGTATTTGTGGATCCCGAGCTTCAGCCTATACATACATACATGTGTGCGTTTTCATACTTTGTGAACATGTTTCTTTAATTCTTTCCATACCATATATATGTATTATTCAATCTTAAAAAAAGAAGGTTTAAATATGCTTTGTCTATCGAAGAGAATTAAGCAAATTGGAAAGCTCTGCTCTGCTTTACTGCTTGTTTTTCCCCCAACCTGCTCTTATTCTGCAAACAAAAAGAATCACAACTTAAAAAAAAAAAAAAAAACCTGTACGTTTACGTGTATGCATGTATCACATCACATACCAGCCATGAAGGATCGTCAAAGCCAATCCCAGCACTCCAAAACAAGATACGTAGACTTCCCAAACATATCAGTTCAACGAATCAGAACTCAGGACAAGGACTAAAGTTACTCGAAAGTTTCAAAATATACAAAGAGAAAGAAAGATGATGGCAACAATTTATAAGAAGATACAATAATTTCTAAACAATGGTAACGACTTCAATACAAGCTTCTTATAATTCAGAAACACAAATAGCAGTAGAAGAAGATGATGACGATAACAATGAACAAGCGAGATCAGGAATCACAAGCGGTACCAATTGGCACACCAATGTCCTTATAGTGGCAAGCATAAGGAACATCAGAACCATCGTACTTACCACTCCAATTTCCCTCAGCGATATAGCTAGCATTCCAAATTGAACCATACAGAAACATGGGCTTCTCAGGAAACCCTAATTCACCATCTTCCCCATCCCCTTTCTTCCTCTCCTCTCCTCTCACTACCTTCCCATCAATCACCCACTCGATCGAATCACGACCCCATTTGATCACATACTCGTGAAACCCATCGGAGCAATCGAACCCCAAATCGTGAATCTGCTCTCTGTTGCCAGTCCCGCGAGTGTAGAAATTGGTTTGCACGATCGTCTTGTCTTTGCCCAAGAACTCGAAGTCGATCTCGTCTTGGGATTTGTCGCCTTCGAGGGAGGAGAGGTAGATGTTGAAATTGAGGCCGCTGGTGTTGCCTTTGGGACACTGGATGAGGGCGCTGAAGGTGCCGTAGAGGAAGCGGGTAGTGGTGCGCCACCGTGAGCCGCCGCGGCGGTCGAAGGTGAGCACGATGGAGTTGGAGTCGGGGCAGTGGGAACAAGCGTCGGGGGTGTAATCAATGGCAATCTCTTTGAGGGGTTGAGTATGGTGATGGTGGCTGGTCTCCGGGTGAAGAATAGGATCAGCCATTGAAGAAGAAATGGGAAGAAAAGGAGCAGACTAAGAAGTGACGTCGCCGACTGAGAAGAGATGCTGTTGGTAAGAAGGAGAAAGGGAAAACGAGGTAGGGACCAGGGACAGACGTGGTAAGAAAAAAAAATCAATATCACGATCTCAATTTAAAAGTACGCTTCCCTCACATTTTTTTAATAAAATTATATATATTAATAAATGTTATTAAATATATTTCATAATTTTATTTTTTAATACACATAAATTTATAAAAGTATTTTTTTATCAGACATAATTTTATTTATAAAATATTAAATAAATAGAAAAATATAATAAGAAAAGAAGGATATAAAATGTTGCAACAAGTATTAACCTCTAGTGATGCCTTGTCCATTGAATTTTTTAGGAGGATATTAGAAATTGAAAAAATTGAAATTATGTTTGAATATTTTTTTTAAAACCTTAATATATTAAACTAAATTTTTTTGAATTATATATATAATGCAAAATACTTTTGAATACACAAATATCAAAATGGATCTTGGTTTTTGTTATTTATAATTTTTATTATACAAATGCTTCATATTAAAAATATTTGAACAATATATAATAAACTTTTAAATAACATAAAATTTGATATGTTAATAAGGATAAGAAGAAATACAAAGTTTGATATGTTGGAAAAAGTTATATAAACAATCAATATACATTAATACTACAAATTATTGAAAAATAATTAGGGGTAGAATGATAATATCAAAAGTAGGTACATATTTTAATTCCCTCATTAATATTCCAACATCCAAATGCACATTTCAAAAGCTCCACTTTTACTCACCTTCTCAAAATGTTTTTGAAATATGGTTTTATTAAAAACAATTACCCAAATAATTTTTGGCTTTTAAAAAGCTACAAAAGTAATTTCTAAAAGCCAAAATTTGGTTACCCAAATACACTCCAAGTCAAGTTCACATATCTCCTGTACCTGGTCTCCAATATCTCCAGGGATGAGTGGAGGAAACATTATTAACGAATATTTTGGAAATAATTTTCTAGTTTTTAACATAAATCTTCTTAAGAAAAAGAATAATCAAGTAATTTCATTATGTGCATTTTTTTATATCAAATCATTATGTGCATCTTATTGACCTTTCTGTGATTCTTGTGAATCCAATTCATCATAGGGGCTGCAAGTTAGGGGCTGCCAAACTTTTTTTTTCCCTGACTGAATAATGCATTCATGAATCTAAACTGATTGCAATGAGATCAAGTTTTCAAGCATAACACTTTCATCATCCACCGCTTTATGAAAAGGTAGGGGATGATTTAAGATATAGACATTAACATTTATAGAATAAGACGTCTTAATTAAATGGCCAGCATACAAATTAGAGTGTCTACCAAAGTGATGAATAACTAAACTCTAATTCTTATGGTACAAAAGTCTCACATTGCAAACCAACTCCATGAGTTTTTTTTTTAAAAATAGTATATATAATTAATTTGAGTTTTTTTTCATTATTTTAATAAATAATATCATTAGGGAAGTGTAGGAAAAAGATGATAATAAAATGGAAAGGTTCCACTTCTATTGATGGTGGCCAATAGAAATTAACGATGGTAATTGGTGATGGTTAGTCGATGATGATAAGCTAGTGGCAACTGATGGAGGTAGCAAATAGCAATGGTTGATGGTGACAACTAATGATGATGGATGGTAATCAATAAGTTGATGCAACAAGTGACAAACCTAAAAATTTTAGAATAATGGGATAACTTACATATACATATATTTTATGGGGGACATCAAAACTAATATTATTAAATATCTTTTGTACAGTTGGCTATGGAGATCGATGTTGGTGGGCGATCTTGTGCAATATGGTGGTGATAGCTTCCTGTAGCTAGATGATATGTATTTTAAAATCTAAAAAAGAAGATGGAAACAAATGTAAGATGTTTCTATTTTCTTATTTCTGATAACAATAATAAAATGAAAAAAATATTTTTAAAATTATTTTTTGGAATAAGAAAGATCTATTAACACATAAAACGAAAGATACAAGAGATATACAAGAATTTAACACCTCCCATCATCCCTTGAACACAATTGAGTTTTTTCTCCCACAAGAAATTATTTAAATATAAAATACGTTACTCAATTGAGTTCTTTTATTCTTTTATAGAGTGTAATTTGGGGTCTAGGGCCGTATGCAAGTGTCTTGGTAGTTTTTCAAATCAATACTCGGATATATACCCACTAGAGAAAACTTTCTGGATATAAGTTTGAGGTTTTGATATGATCTAAGCCAACATTATATTGTAAAAAAGAAAGAAAAGAAGGATACAGTGATGGAAGATATGGTGACACTGGGTAGCCTTAAAAGAAGGGTTTTATTGTCAACGTCCTTTCTTTATGATCAGTAATGGAAGGAAATATAATAACAGACAATTAAAGCCTCGTTCGTTGGTTACTAGAATGAAATAAATGTAATGTATTGAAAAAAATAAAAAAATCAAAATAAGACGAAAATAGGTTAACCATATTTATGAAAGAGAAGGATAATTTAGTAGGGTTGGAATCATGAATCATTCATCAGATTTTTAAAACGTGAGATGATTTCTACATTTATGATATGTAATATTAAGTTTTATTATACTTATTATAAGATGAGAAGGATGATCTAATTTAATTTTATTTTGATTTTTCCAGTCATTCCATTCATATTCTTTCTAGCAACCAAACGACACATATGCATTTCACAAGCCATAAGCCACTTATTTCATGAAAATACACATACATCACTGCTTAAAAAAAAAAAAAAAGACTCATGAGAGTACCATTATCATAATGCTTCTAAAGAAAAACACTCCCATTGTTGGCGAAAAAAAGAAACTACTACCTTTCAGCACTTCTTTCATGGTTTATGAACATCTGCCCATAAACCATTTATTTAATTTGTGTAAAGATTAATAGAAAATAACAATCTTTGATCAAAATGGTTTCTCTTCACTCCTATAGAAAAAAAGCCCAGAAGGACTACCATTGGGCAGCAAAGCCAACCTTCACAACACTTTCAGCTCCTTCATCAGGAGATAGTACCCCACAATTTTTGGTCATATCTGTCCTGACGTAGCCAGGGCAAACAGCATTAATGCACCAAGATGGGTAGGTTCTTGCCAGAATTCTTGTGTACCCATTCAAAGCAGCTTTTGAAACATGATATGCAGACATGAATGCAGGCCAACCTTTTGTTTCGAATGAGCTACCCTCTTCAAAATCTTTCAGGAATTGCTTCAATGTGTTCTCAATCTTTTCTTCTGTGAGGCTTTCAACATCACTTAGTACATCTTTTAACCTTCCCTTTGGTAGAAACTGCAACAACACATACAGAACGAATTAAAGCAATATACTTATCCAACACTCAAAGCAGCAAGGAATATCAGAAGAAAAGTGCAACAAAGATTCCAAATCATTTCGTATGCCTTGCAACCCAAATATTTCAGTATGTTGCTCTTGTCGATGTATCTAACCGTTCTTGAAATAACTTGTCACTCATGAAGCACCAATGCTTCAAAACAAAAATAAACAAACCCATATCTCTGATACAATACACGTACGTTACTTACATGATACATGTTGCATACTTTAGCATTTGTACTACTTACTCTTTCGTTAAAAAATATAAGGTATTTTTGATCGAATTTCACCCTCAATAAAGTAGTTACATGTCATTAAACTAATCTTATCTTTTTATATTTATCTCTATTTAATAGGGTATTTCACTCTAAAATAAATATAAAGTGATTCGTTTAATAGGGATACTTTTAGTTAAAAAAAGGCAATAATTACACCTTAAAAAATTAAAAATATCTTACATTTTTTAACATCCAATCCCTTAAAGAATGCCTCACATTTTTTAATGGAGGGAGTAAAAAATTAAAAAAAATTAATATTTTGGTTGATTGTATTAAGTGTCCTTATACTACAATAAGCATACTCATTTAAAACTCAATATATCTATACTCATATCATAAAATATTAAAATATATTATATATGTTCCCGTGCTCCCTTATCCTAAAATTTTAAAAAAAAAGGGAAAATTTAACTTAAAATCTTCAAAATGAACTTATTTGCTGTTAGGGCCAAAAATATTCTGAAAATGCATTGCAGAAGATCCTTCAATGTAATAATTTGTGCCCTAACAGCAAAAAAGTTTATTTTGAGAAGTGTTGTATCGACCGTATCATGCTGTAGCATCGCATCTGATATACATACCTATATTGATACATTTTAACTTGTCAGATTTCAAAAGGTTGGTATGTGCACATACCTCCAATGTTCCCATCATGGAGGCAACCATAACAATTGTTGGAGACTCTGATAATTGAAGAAGGGGAATAAGTGATGTGCATGTTTCTTTTGTTCCGTGGTAGTTTGTTCTCACAGCTTCTTCAGCCAACTCATAGTTCTCTGTGGATATTTTTGTCCAATCCACTTGAGCACCTTTCTGCTACCGTAAATATCAATAAATTACCATCCTCTTTTTTTTTTTTTTATAGTCCTAATGACATAAGCTCTATTAACACCTTAATTTTAAATATAGTAATTTAAGCTAGATTAAATTTATTCATAAACCACAAAATGCAATTGGTTTGAGTTTACGTGGGAAAAATTAAAAACCAAAAACAAAGACCAATGTGGTTTGAAAGACATGCCTCTATTCCAGAATTGGCCAAAGCATCACCATCAACAATTGCACCAGGAATCGCTGCATTATTTACCTGCATAAAATCCATGTTGATCGTTGTTTTGGGTGACAAATACAATCATTTATATTTTTGTTTGTATGATTTATGACTTTGCAAAGATTCTGAATTATATTATATTTTAATATTATTATCAATTCTATTTTTAAACTATTTGTCTTTTATATTTTTTGGTGAATATTTATTTAAGTTTCATATATTTTAACGAAATCATTTTATTTTTATACGCACTTCTTTAAATTATTAGATTTTTAATTTTTCAGAAAATTAAGTAGAAAAGAGCTTTTATCACATAATTCAGAACCTTGTTAAAATTGTTTGAAATTTATGGAAAAGGTAAATTAAT